GCCTATAGAATCTTAAGGAATGGGAAGTGCTATAAAACTGATGGTTTGTCCTGAGTAACCGAATGTCTCATGCGTTGATACGCGTCTAATGCGGACACGGCGGGTTAGCCCACCGAGCCCAATAACCAAAACGGCAGCGGCAATGAAAGACGATTGGAAGGGCAAAGAGACACGCATGACTACCTCTCAAACCCGCTGTTCGAACGAGTCTGTCATGCCTTGTCGGTCACCGCGCGCAAATCGTGCGGCAACTAACAGAACCTCGTATAAATATGCCATCACAGGCAAACAGCGCGCGAACAATTAAATGAATGGGGCACCCCCCATTCACACGCGCGGTCGGCGCATCACTCGCCCACTGCCCCGGGCACATAATTCTCGAAGGCCGCGCTAGCACCTGCACGCCCTTCTGCGTCATCTCCGAGGCAGTGGACTGCGACGATAGAATCACGCAAGCCCAGGCCACCGTTGCCCGCGATGTTGGACGATCCGTTGGCTTCGACATCACGGTCGCCATTGCGTAGGAGCGCCCACCCTCACCGGCGCAGTCGGACGTCGCATTCACGAACATAGTCTGGGAGATGCGGGCGCCTGATGACTCAATCATCCGAGTCGCCCGTCGCCCGTCTCATTGATGGCGAGGTCTGCGTTGGGAGCTGGGCGCGAACTTCGAGCGCCGCTCCTCGCTCAGCTTGGCGGCGTCATGGTCATAGCTGAGCTGGCCATTCAAGATGTCCACGATCAACCTTCTGCCGACGCCCCCCTCGGTAGTGGGGTTGGCCCACATGTCGCGAGTGTCGCGCGACAGCATGTCCTCAATCTGCTCGGCGCGGACTGGATCTTATAACAGGCACAGATGGCCGGCCACGCTGTTCGCGGACGGCGGCCAAATAAGCTCCATTGCCGAAGCCGCGAAGACAAACATCCCGTCCACGGCGAGGGCCGCAGGCACCGCGTAGCCCCCTCCTCTCTCAGCGCCCTTATCTCGTCGGCTGAGACTGGCCCACGGGCCATCTCGTGGAGCGAAAGGAGGCAGGCTTGCAACGCGCCCGCTGCTCCGAAGGCTGCAAGCAGCTCCGAGCCGAAATAAAACCTGCACGCGAGTCTGCGCGAGCGGCTCACAACGTCGAGCAAGCGGCAAAACTTCAGGCGGGCGCTGCGGCACTTGCCCAAGCGCGCGCAGATGGCATCTCGCATGCCGCGCCTGGCCCCCCCCCCCCCTCTTGAAGGAGCCGTCGCTGCGCGCGCAGCGCTGGGAGCTGGCCAGCGCGCCCCGTGGCGGAAGAGGCACTGCGCGCCTTGATCTCCCGCATGGCCAAGACAACTGAAATGGGCTGCATCGCATGGCGCATGAGCAGCTCGCCCTTGGCTCTCTGCAGCGCCGCATTGTACGCGGCGGCGCGGCGCTGGGCGAGCACGGCGCACGCTGCTGCTCCAAGCGGGGAAACAAAAATGACTGGCAATTGACCTCGGGCCGGCTCGTCGGCCTTCGCATTGACCAGGTCTCCGTGCCTGGTCGGCATCAGGGCGTCGACGCGCTCGTCCTGGTCGAGCGTCACTGCGCCGTCGGCGCTGCAGTGTCGGCGCACTCCGCAGTTGGCAAAGTCGTCGTAGTCGCCCTTCACCTTGCCGAAGACGCTCTCGATGTGGCCAAGAAGCCGATTGACGTGGCCCTTGTGTCTAGCGATCGTAAGACCACCAGCATGTCTAGACGCCAGAGACACAGGACGCCTCGTGCTTGACCTCGAGCCCCAGGCCCCACCTGGTAGTTTTGGCGCCGCACCACGTTGAGCGCGTGACCCAGGCGAACTGCATGGAGAAGGCACGGGCGCGTCATTGCAGCCCGTGCCCGACTTGGCGCAGCGCAGGCGCACGGTCCGTTTGTCGAGGGACTCGCAGCCAGGCGCCCGCTTGAGGGCGGCCCCACAGCTGAGCGGCAGGGTGAAGTTCACCTCGCGCGGTGCCTCACATTGCTCCTGCACCTCGGCATAGGTCATGCCCTGCAGGAAGGCCTCCTCGACGCCCGCGGCGACGTAGACCCAGCCCGGGCGACGCGCCGCCACCGAGGACAGCACGCGCTGCGACGCGCACTTCGCTGCCCCCGCGAACGCCCCCAGGGCTCCGGCGCCCGTGCCGCGGAAGCCTCTGAGCGCAATGCGGCACCAGAGGAACCTCGCGGCCTCGCCGCTGGGCACCTTCCGGCGCCTCCACTTGAAGACGCGGTTGGAGTCCATGACATTGCGGGCGCCCTCGAGCGGTCGCCTCTCGACGCACTTGCGCTTGACCCGGATGGTGAGCTCCTCGAGGCTTGCCGCTGCCATTTCCTTTGACGGCCTGGGCAATTCCTCCGTTAGGAGATCGGCATCGCGCTTGATGACCGCGGTCTCGGCGTCGGCACACACGTTAAGCACGGCTGTCCAGGAATGGCCAGCAGAGTTGAGGGACTTCGCGCAGCCCTGGGTCGAGGAACAACTCCATATGTCTTCCCCCATTCGCCCTCCTCCACTAGTGCGGCGCAGTCGCCGAGGGCGGCGCCGCGCAGGTGGCAGCGGCACTGCGCGTAGACGCCCTGGCGCTGGCGCTGCGTCTGGAAGCGCCGGGGCCACTCGCGTGGCAGGCGGCCAAATTCGGCCGCGATGTGCTCGGCAGCAGCGTAGATAGCATGCTGGCTCTCGTCGCTTTCCAGCTCCTCAAGCTCCTGGGCAAGGCTTTCTGCACCTTCGACTCTTCGCCAAGCTGCCAATATCACCTTCTGGACGTGGCCGGAGACGTCGCTGCCGGTCTCCAATGGCACGGCCGACGGCGCTGAAGGGGATCCTCCCTCAGTGGTGCTGGCAGCGCCCGCTGGAACGTCGATGATATAGTCATCGAGCGCTCCATCTCGATATTGTCCTGTGTCTGCTGCCAAAAGCGTCTCGAGATCTATGATGACCTGGATGCTGCGAGCTCCCTTCCACTGCTCGCCAATGATTACACGGGCGTCGAACCTGACGCTCTCGGGGGTGAATCTGTGGACTGCCACCTGAACTCTGAGGGGCCCACCGAATGACTAGGCTGCGGGCGCAGCCCCGCCGGTCGCCCGAAAAGATCTGGCCGCGTAAGTAGACGCGCGCCCCGAACGTCTGGCAGCTGAGAATATATGCGCGCTACGTGGCGTAGAGCTTCGAGAACGTCTGGGCGCTGCCGCGCCTGCGCGGTGGTTTGCACGCCCCTCGAGCCATCCAGGTGGCCGAAGGACCTGGCGCCGGATCCTGGTGCGAAGTTCCCCAGGAGGTCCCCCACTCGGCCCCAGGCCAGGCCAGCTCGCGCCAAGCTGGTGCCCACGTCGTCGAAAACCGCACCGATGCAGGGCCTGACGTCCTGCAGTCCGCACGCCATGTCGGCTCGGCGCCGACCGCCACTTTGCCTCGAGCCAGGCCAACAGGCATGACAGTACCAGTACCCGCCCAGTCTGACGCGGGGACAAAGGATCCACCTGGTCGCCAACGTTGAACCAACCCACTCTGGACTCTGCGGCGCGCGCCCCGTGTCCAGAGGGCACGGTTGACGCGGGAGATGGACGTGGCCTCGACCCTTGGTGCGACGCCCTAAAGCCAAGACAACTGGCGGCCAGTCATCCACGAACTCCCGCACCACGCCGGCGCGTCGCGACGATGCGAAGGCTGCCTGGCGAAACCCATTCAGATCTGGGTTCGCCAGTGACCAGATCACCACCTCCGGGACCCATCGCTGGGAAGGCACTCGACATTGTTGCTCGGGCCCACAGGCGCGGAGGCGTCGCGCGTCGCCGCCGCCGCCGCCTGCGCCCATGCAGGTTAAGCAGCTGGCCGCGGCGAGCACGCCCACTCCGATGGTCTTCTATCCGGAAAGGAGGTCCCTCCATAAGTCTCGGAGGCACTGGTCGCCGGGCGCCCAACGGCAGCGCCGCTCTGGCCGCGGGCCTCGGCGTCGCCGCAGGCTCCTGCCCCGGATGCGTTCCTCCTCGTCAGCGCATTGGGCGCCGTCTTCCGTCGCGTCGTCGCGACGTTCTCGGCGCTCGGGGCGCTCCATAATGCAGCTGTGGGAACGCGAATCGCGCGTCACGTCGCCACTGCACTGAATGCCACCAACTGCGCGTTGCCAAGAGGAGTGCGCATCGGGATCTTGCAGGTAGCGAACGAGTTTGGCCATAGGTCATGTTCCCAGAGATGATCGAAGACAGATAGTCTCATTTCGCTGTCTCATGGTCGCCAGGCTCTCCACGGACTTCCCGCCGCTCCGTTGCTCTCCCCAGGGCTATCGTAACATAGTTGCGAGTAATTCGGAATCCTCTGGCTTTGGCCGCTGAAGTGAGCGCTGCATCGATCAACTGTTCATTACTGACGGCTGGCGGATCCACGAGCGGCTCAAACATCGTTCGAACACGTCCCAGGCGGGGGGCGGCAGAGCGCCGCTGTCCTTGTAGTGGCCGATGACGTTGTACTCGTTCACGGTCTCGTAACACGACTTGAGCTTCAGGTCGTCGTCCTTGTACGGGTTGTCGCATAACGGTCGCGGCGGTCCCGTCACGAAGGCGGGTAAAAACGCCGCGAATACGTTCAAGCGCGTTGGCAAACTGGATTGATGGGTGGATGTCAAAGTGCGCTTAAACGTATGCGTTGTCCTGAAAAATCGCATGTCGAATGTGTTAATACTTGTTTATGACGGGCACGGTAGGTTGACCCACCGTGCCCAAGACGCAAAACGGACGCGGCAAGGGCAAAGAGAGTGCAATATTACCGTTCGATCTTGGGGAGGTTGAGGAGGATGGAGGAGGAGGAGGAGGAGGAGGAGGAGGAGGAGGAGGAAAAAGAGGAGGAGGAGGAGGAGGAGGAAGGAAGAGGAGGACGATGTGGAGGAGGAGGAGGAGGGGGAGGAGGAGGAGGAGGAGGAGGAGGAGGAGGAGGAGGAGGAAGAGAAAGAGGAGAAAGACTTCCCCGCCGCATTCCGCAGAGAGCAGCGCCCAGCGCGCCCAGGGGGGCCTGGCTCGCTCGCCGAGAGACCAGGGCGGCAATCGTCCTGCCGGGCAGATACTATTTGCAGATCGGGGCGGAAGGGATTGGAGGAGGAACCGCTCCAGTGCCACCTTGCTGGCTCTTCCGAATCGACGCCAACCGACGGCAATCGACGGCAAATCGGCGCTAGTCGACGCCATGCCGGCGCTTTCCCGTCGAGCACCAGACGCTAGCGCACGCTATTGCACCCGAAAAAGCAAAATTACGCGAACATGCAAGGTATTGGAGGAGGACCTGCTCCGTCCTTGGAGCCGGCGGGGGGGTTGAGGTGGTCCAGCACTGGTTCCCACCAGCAGTAAGGGGGGACGAGGCTCGAGATGCTGGGTTCGAGTGTTCTTCCCGGAAAAGGCGTCGGCCCAGGGTTCTCTTTTAGGAGGTTCATTCCCCCCAGAATCAATTTGAAGAGGGCCGGCGAAATTATCGAAGAGGGCTGGCGAATTAGAGTTTGAGGATGTCCCGAGCGAAACGCTGTTTTTTTGAAATTCCGATCGATAAAAAACATAGTGAAGTAAGCAATTTCGTGTGTTACGGATGTCTCAAGCGAAACACTCGTTTTGCAGAATTTGTTTTGGATTTCTCAAACGAAACGCTTGCTTTTCGTGGCCCTGGGAGCGTGGACACAGCTTAGTTTTCTACGGATCGTGGCCCAGGGAGAGCGGACGCAGCGTAATTTACGATGGATCGTGGCCCTGGGAGCGCGGACGCAGCGTAATTTACAAGGGATCGTGGCCCTGGGAGCGCGGACGCAGTGTAATTTACCTCGGGTCCTGGCCCTGGGGGGCGGACACAGCATAATTCACGAGGGGACGTGGCACTGGGAGCGCGGACACATTGCAATTCACGAGGGAGCGCGGCCACCAGAGCGCGGACACAATGTAATTCACGAGGAAGCGCGGCACTGGGAGCGCGGACGCAGCATACGTTACGAGGGATCGTGGCCCAGGGAGAGCGGACGCAGCGTAATGTGCGAGGGATCGTGGCCCTGGAAGCGCGGACGCAGCCCCTCCTCCTCCTCCTCCTCCTCCTCCTCCTCCTCCTCCTCCTCCTCCTCCTCCTCCTCATCATCATCATCATCATCATCATCTCACATCATCATCATCATCATCTCCTCATCCTCATCCTCATCCTCATCCTCATCCTCATCTCATCCTCCTCCCCTCCTCCCCCCTCCTCCTCCTCCTCTTCCTCCCCCTCCTCCTCCTCCTGCCTTCTCGAGGGAAAGCTCCCAAGACATTAAACAGGACAAGCTCGCAGGTAGCGTCCTGGAGAGTTCCAGATCGGCGGCCCAGGCCGGAGGCCTCTATGATGTGGAATCCCGGCCAGGCTCCCGAGGCCTCGAAAAATCCCGAGGCCACGCGATCCGCTCCGAGCGCGCCTGGGAGCGCCAGGGATCTCGCAGGAGCGCCCGCGAGCTCTGGCCATCGCACCTCCCGCATATCATGGCCACCCTCCCCTGCTCTCAAGGCACCCCCCTGCGCTCCCTCGGTGCACCCGACGAAGGGGGGGTGGCACAGAGAGGGGGAGCAGCCATCCGGGGGCCCGGGCCCCCCACCCCGCCTGTGGGGCGTGCGGTGGCGCACGCTGGGGCCCACCGTTGAGCTGCCGGCGACGTGTCCGGTTCCAGGTCGCGGCCTCCCCCCCGGAGCCATGGCTTCACAGCCTGGCCCTCCAGACGATGGACCCCCTTCCCCGGGGGCCGGCCCCCCATCCCAAGCAGGTATTTGACACGCCCGCAGAGGCCCAAAACTGCCAAAAACCTTCCGTCGTGACTTCTCACGCTCACGACGCGCGGGCGTCAGGGCTTCCACCTCCTTCGCCGAGGGCTCAACGACTTTGGGTGCCCTGCGACTCACGCTGGAGTCCGCACGATCTAGTCCAGATTTTCCTGGAGGCCTCTGCACACTGACACACTGACACATCGATCTCAAAGTATATGGATGTGTTTCGACTTGCCTGGCTTTACCTCGACTTAGCTGGCCTGACCCCCGCAAGTCGATTTGAGAAAATTCGTCAAGCCCTCAGGGACTCCTCCTGGGTCGTCCATTGACGACCCGGGGGGGGCAGCTGGGGCCGCACAGAGGCAGAAAAATGGCAAAACCCTCCGCCGTGCTGTCCGCGACGCGAGTATGTCAAAGAGAAAAACGAAACTGCACAAACATACACTTTCGGAGATCCGCACCGGATTTCTTGGACCTGCGCTGGACCCCCTCCCCGGCGCACGGAGCGCGCACGACGCTGCGCCCAAGACGCCGTCAGGAGGGGTCCAGCGCAGATCCGAGAAATCCGCGCGGAACTCCGAAAGTTTATGCTCGCACCAGTTGTTCTTCTTCCACCAGAGTCGTCGCGCAAGGATGTCAAGGTCGTCGCCGTTTTTACCACGACGGGAGGACGCATCCTGGCAACCTCTCAGCCGTCGCGCGGGCCTCGTGGGCTGGGGGCGCCGAGGAGGGGGGGCGGCGGTCCTCCGGCGGCTGCGCTCCAGGCAGGAGACCTCGTGCCTGCCGGGTGGTGCAACACGCCCCGATCCTGTTCCTCTCCCTCCTCATCACCACCACCCCTCACTCCACCCCTCCCTCCACCCCTCACTCCAACCTCTCACTCTGCCGCCTCCTCCTCCTCCTCCTCCTCCTCCTCCTCCTCCTCCTCCTCCTCCTCCTCCTCCTCATCCTCCTCCTCCTCATCCTCCTCCTCCTCCTCCTCCTCATCCTCTTCCCTCCTCCTCCACCTCCTCCTCCTCCTCCTCCCCCTCCTCCTCCTCCTCCTCCTCCTCCTCCTCCTCCTCCTAAACCTCCTCCTCCTCCTCCTCCTCCTCCTCCTCCTCCTCCTCCTCCTCCTCCTCCTCCTCCTCCTCCCAGGGCTGGGCCACCTCAGACACCCCCAGCCGACTCCAGGCTCCCAAGCTCCAGGGAGGAGGGAGGCCGGGACGGGCCCGCCGGCCGAGCCTCGGGCGCGCCCCGCGGCCGAGCACGCCCACGGCGAGGGGGTCGGTCCGCATCCGCGCCTGCAGCTCCAGCAGGATGCGGAGGCGCAGCCTGCCCCTCCCTCCGCCCACACTGCGCCGCCAGACTGCATCCATCACGCGCGAGGGCACTTCGCGCTGCAGGGGAGGCCGAAGCACCAGCACCCTGGCACCCCATGCGGCTTGTGGGGCAGAGGAGAGGCGTGATGACCGTGGCGCCACTGAAGCCCACCCGTCCCTTGTGTATGCCACAACGGAGCTGAGCACCGTTCAGACGATCCCTGTCCCCTTTGGCGTGGCCTGGGCACCACTGGCCGATCTACCCCACTAGATGGGGATGTAGAGGCTGGTGTCTTCGGATTTCGAGGGGCCTATCCCCAACTGGGGCGGCGGGATGGTGCAGCTGAGGTACCGTGGCCTGGTAGGGATGGGGTCAAATTCGATGATACTGGTACATAGATGGAAGGCCGCCCTGGCCCGCGAAACGAACGTTCTCCTCCATAGGCAGGAACAGCCAGCATCGCATCGAGAAATCGGATCGGGTCGGAACGTGTATGGAAGAGGACCGCATCGGCTCGGAGTTGGAACCGATTCGAATCGGCGGCACCAGGATGCATAACGGCGCAATGCAAGCATCGGGCCGCGTCGGATCGCCCCAAAATCAGAATCGAATCGAATCGGGCCGGCGAGAGCCGATGTCGAATCGGATCAGTCGGATCGAAATGGAACCTGATGGGTCCTGGATGTCACGCTGCGGCGGAGTCCTGCCCTCCCCCCATCCCCCCGCCACTCGAGGAAGGAGTCGCCGTACTGCGGCGTGAGGTAGACGGCAAACTCCAGGCATTTCCGTGCCAGGGCAAGGTTGAAGTGAGGTGCCAGCGGGTTCAGGAAGACGCGGGCGCCCTCGCACCATACCTTGCCAGGCTGCACACAAGCTTGCTTCCAAAGCCCCGCAACACGTCGCCCCCTGATTATCGGACCTGGAATATGAATTAGAGCCGCGCTTCACGCTGCGAGAAGCCCGAAGCACGAGCACCCTGCCACCCCATGCGGCTGCTGGGGCAGCGGAGACTCTTGCCAGTCTTGGCGCCACTGCCACGGAAGCCCGCCCGTCCCTTGCAAGCCGAGAAGGTGCCTGAAGCATGCTTCTGCCGGGACCGCGCGAGAGCGCACCCACTCTCCCCGCTGGGAGCCGCGGGCCGCGCACTGAGGCCGCCGAGGAAGGGCGCGGCCCCCTCTCGCTGGGGAGCCTCCGGGGCCTGCTCGGAGGCTCCTCTCGGGAGGCTCCCCCCGGAGGCCCCCGGGAGGCCACGGCCCGCGCGAGATGCCGGGGCACGCCGCGCCGCGGCATCCCGGAGAGAGAATCGGAGAGGGTGCTGGCCCTCGGCCTCCCTGTGCGCCGCCAGGACCTGCGCATCATCCGCTGCCTCGGGGTCCCTCCTCCTCCTCCTCCTCCTCCTCCTCCTCCTCCTCCTCCTCCTCCTCCTCCTCCTCCGGACTCGGGGAGCAGCGGATATGGACGCCTGCCCGCCCGCGCGGGCGGGCAGGTAGCGTCGAGGCAGCGGGGAATGGTCATATTCTGACGGAAGGCTCTGGTCTCTCTGGCCGTCCCTTGGCATTCCCGGAAGCTCCTGGAGGCTGCTGGAGGCCCTTGGGGGCACGTACGAGCGGGTCGCTCGGGTGGACGCCAGCGGCAGAATGAAGGCGCGGCGATGTCATCCGCCCGCGTCACGCCAGTCCCCCGGGGGCAACGCAAGACCTCTCGGCCCTCTCAAGCTCTGGAGGCTAGATTCGTCTAGACGGTAAACCTGCTGGACGTCATTCTCAAGGCCGACACGGTTACAACTAAGACTACATGTCGCTCTCCAGAACTTTCGCCTCAGACCATCTGCATTTCGATATTCCCGAGCGATGTGGTGTATGCGTGTGTGTGTAGGGGGATGGTAGAAAAACAATAAAGAGAGAGAGAGAGAGAAAGAGACATCTTAAATGAAGCGAACGTGGGGCGGGTAGACACCCAGCAGCAACGCAAGCAAAGACGAAGAGGCTCCCAGTTAGAAACCACTCCCTGTCTGAGCCGGTACTCTCCTGAGCGGAGGCAAAGCTCGTTTGCTCCCCGATCGCCTCGCCGCTCTTGGGCACCTCCTTCACTGCCTTGTGGAAGGTGGCCAGCGCCGTCGTGGCCCCCTCCGCGCCGGCCATGCTGTGCTCCAGCATGATCAGGGCAGACCAGAGCCGCCCGGTGGCCGGGTGAAGGCTCAGGCCGGAGAGCGCCACCTCCTTCGCCTTGGGCAGGCAGCCCTGGCGGGCCTCCATGAAGATGTGCTCCAGGAATATCTTCCAGTCGTGGCCCTCGCACACGTGCGCCTCCGCCAGTGCGGCGCGAGCACTCTCTGGCTCGCCGAGGAACTCCTGCACGGGCCCGACATCCCCCTGGAAAAGTAATGCAACTTTTGCGGGTCGTGTCAAAGACTCGTCGGGGGGGCTTCCCTAGGGGTAGTTTGATCTCGGGTCCGTTCTTATGGGTCCACAAACGGCCCCCAGAGGCCAAAAACGACGAGAAGCAAAAGGCGACGAAAACAAACAAATCGACAACGAAGGTTGAGTTAATTTTCCAAAGTAGTGGAGGATCCCGTCGGGCCGAGAAGAAACCCTTGCGTGAGAGCGGGATGTTGGATCTGGATCATGTGAGCTCCGCCTATGCCCAAGCAATATTATGGAGCGTGGATGGGCGGCCAACCCTGCAACCCCCAAAAAACGATCGATGCTGCGGACGTCATGGATGTGGTGGTTCGGTTGTGATGGACTGAGTGGAAGGCGGCCAGAGAAGGGCGTCGAGGAATGAAAGGAGGGGCGAACTGATGACGTGGGAATAAGACAAGGAAAGGAGCAAGAAATCTGCAGAGCTGCACACGAAGGGTGAGGAAGAGAAGTCCTGTTGGCAAATCTTCTCTGCTCGACTCCGTCGAGGGGTGCGCACCGAAACACAGCCAACATGCGAATATAGACCGGCGCGGAATCCTCCCCGACGCTCCATACTTCCACCAACCAGCAAATAACACCCGGATCCCCTCCGTCTGTACATATACAGATGCCAGCGTCGCCTCGTGTGATGTTTTCTTCCTGCTCTTCGCGTCTCGCCGTCCGCATGCATGCAAGCCATCAAGCGTCGCCGCCAACTCAAACAGATTGCCATCCCTTGTGCTCCTGGGCGCGGGCCTCCTCGATGCACACGGACACCTGCATCCTGGGCGGCGCGTCGGAACGAGCCTCGCGGCGGGGAGGGCGGCACCGTCCCACCGCGGCTCTGGCCGTCGGAACAGGGCTCAACACTCAGCGGTGACTGAGGTGAGGGGTCCGCCTAGCTGGGAGGAGATCATTCTTCACTTCTCGGAGATCAGCGGGATCATCCCACAGAGGGGGAGGGAAGGGGGGGAGGTGACGGCCGATAAACCAAGCTGTTCGCCTCGAGCAGCCCCACAAATGCCCGCGCACAGCAGTGCTGCGTACCCCCCTCGGCCCTGCGCAGCCGACAAGGTCAGGTTAACTATTCAAGAAAACTGCTTCAAGAAGAAAAGACTGCATTGAGCAAAAACGTTCTCATCCACGACATCCACGCCTTTATGGGGCACCTGCGAAGTCGAGCCTGGGCCAGCTCTGAGATGCCCCTTGGAGAAATAAAAACAGCAGAAGCATCACAGGCTCGGAGGGTCGCGCAGACTTCCTGGATCGACGAGGGACCCCCCTCCCTGGCGCGCGGAGCGCACCCAGGGCGGCGCCAGAGGCGCCGCCAGGGGGGTCCAGCGCCGATCTGAAAAAGACGGTCGGGCCTTCCAAAGTTTATGCTTACACGCCGGTCGGAAGAAGTGGGTAGAAACATGAAGTAGGAAGGCGGGCAAAGTAGGTTGGGTTCAGGCCCTCCTACAGAATAACAAACCATAACAAACTCAGATCGATTCTTGAAGTAGGAAGGCGCTTGAAATAGAGTGGGATCTGGGGTTCCAAAAATACCTGCTTTCAACGACCGGCTTGTACGTCGCTTGTTCCCAAACGTCCGATGTTGTGATTTGTTCGAAGCGGGGCCCCCGAAGTCTCGACTCGGTCCCCGGGGCAGATTGTTTCACCCCGAGCCGTTCCTTGACGGTCCGGGGGCCTCGCGAAGGCCCCCCGGAGGCCGAACACGGCTGAAGACCGTCTGGCGTGACCTCGTTCGCGACGCGAGCACGTCTCGGGTCGGGCGAAAGGGGGGGATAGCAAAGGGGGGGGTTCAGAATCAGCTCCCGTAGCGGATTTTCCCGGCGCCTCCCGGCGCCGGATGGAGCTATGTATCGAGGAATGGGCCCCTCGGCGAGGCCGAAACCAGCTGCATGCAGCAAACTTCGTAACCCCCCCTTTCCCAATCCCCCCCCTTTCGCCCGACCCGATTGGGGCTCTCCTGGGCCGTCTTGGGACGATTCGGGGGGTCTCTTGGGCCGTCTTGGGGCGGTCCTTGGGGGCTTCTTCGGCCGCCTTGGAGTGACTTTTGGACGGTCTTGGAGCGTCGGAACCCCGAAAAAGCGAGAAAGCCAAAAACCTCGACCAAGGGCTCCCAGCTTCGCGCTTCGCGCTGCGCGAAGCGCGAAGTGCGAATAACTTCGCGCTCTCGCGCCGCCTCCCAGGGGAGAAGAGGAGGAAGAGGAGGAATCGAAGCCGAACCGCGAAGCGCGAAGCGCGAATAACTTCGCGCCCGAGGGCGCCCTTGTCGACCTTCGACGGCCACACTCTGCGGCAGCGCCGCCCGGCCTGGTCCAGCAGCTTCCTGCAGGTGCCCGTGGAGCCCGCCCAGAGCTCCGACCTCGCCGCGAGCAGCCACACCTGGGCCGCCCCCCTCCCTCCCCCTCCCGCCCTCTCCTTCATCTACCCCTCCCTCCTTCCTCCTTCCTCCTTCCTCCTTCCTCCTTCCTCCTTCCTCCTTCCTCCTCCTCCTCCTCCTTCCTCCCCCTCCTCCTCCTCCTCCTCCTCCTCCTTCCTCCTGCTCCTCCTCCTCCTCCTCCTGCTCCTCCTCCTCCTCCTCCTCCTCCACCCTCCCTCCTCGTCCTCCTCCCTCCCTTTCCTCATCCCTCGCCCCCTTTCCTTACAAATAACTCATCCCTGTCGCACCCCCAGGCGTGTCGGTCGGGTCGGCAGGGAGTTTTGCATGAGACAGAATCACCACTTCTGTCCCCGAGGTTTGAAATCTACAACAACCACAAGGATGGAATGGAGGGTCCTAACGCCGCGCACACTCGATCTCAAAAGAGTGCGACAACTTAAAGGACAGAGGGGGTGGTTTTCAAAATGTTGCTCTCGCTTTAGCGCCGCACAGCCGCGCACGTTCGCCTTTAAAAGCTTGAAACGGTTTCAGGGATGGAGGGGGGTCGTTTTCAAAATGAAGATCAGGCCATAGCGCCGAACACACATTCGTTCAGCAAGTTCACGACAGCTTCAAGGATGGAGGGCGGCTCCCTTCCAAAATGGGGCTATCGCCAGGGGGGTCGGGTTTGGACTCTCGCCTTAGCGCCGCGCATGTTCGTCGCAAAAGCTTGGAACTGTTACAAGGGTTGTGGGCGGTTCCTTTTCACAAGGGGGCCTTCTCTGGAAGGTGCTTCAATTTCCAAGGGCCACCAGACGCTTCCACGTATGGTACAGCTGCCAAGAGTGGAGGACGGCTCCTTTTCGAAATGGGGCGCTCTCTTGAGAAGTCCTCGACGCCCATGGCCGGAAGAGCAAACTGGCGCGAGGGGTGCACAATCGGGGCGGCCCTTTTTGGCAACGGGGACGTCGCTTCCTTCGCGCGCTTCTCGTCACTCAGCTACACGCAAGAGTGACCCTGGGTAAGGGTGACTGAAGGGGCCCTTGGACACACAAATAAATACAGACAAATAACAGGATTCCTCATATTTTCGTATATTTTCTGGGTTTTCGTCTTCCCCCCCACTTCCCATATTTTCCCATATTTTCCTGGGAGTCGACGATTAATTGTGTCTGTGTGTTTTTTCCCCTCCTGGGTGACCTCTGGTGCGCGGATCAAGGGGGCGCGAGGGGGCCGAATCCAAGCGCGCAGGCCGCTGCTATGTCATCGAGGGCAGCGATCGGGGGGACCCCGATTCGGCGGTGGACAAACCTCCCTTTAGTAAACCTCCCCTTAGTGAAAACGGCCTGGGACCGAAACCGACGGACCTGGACCGAACCGAAAACGGCCAATTCACTAATCGACGTGTCAGGGTAGGAGGTCTGTCCACCCCCGACCGATGAGCCCTCATCAGAGGTCACTCCGGCGAAGGGTCGCTCTTGCGCGCAGGCGAGAATCACTCCGCGGAAGGACACGAGGCAGCGAGGCGGACAGCCCCTCTTTCGGAGAGTTCGGCTCTCGCCCGAATGGCAGGCCCGTTGGGTGCTGGTCTTTTTTCAGGGGCAGCGCCTCGGAGGGGAAAATCGAGAGCTTGTATGGACCAGTGAGGAAGGAACCTGGGACCTAGCGGGTGTGTCCTCGGACCCAGGACAGAAGGGCATCCTTCAAGAGCATAGGGCCCTCCGCCGGCCAACACACGCAGCACTGGGCGGTGCCGGACGCGTCGCCGTACCGCCAGGGACCTGCCACGGGCAGCCGGATCGGGCTCCTCTCGGAACGGCCCTGGCGGAAGAGGTAGAGCGATGGAGGGAGAGGCAGGCGGCGTCTCGAGCTGCGGACGTAGACATGTCCACGCCCTCGCGGTCTGGACCCCTGGGCGCGATCCCGCGGATCCGCGGTCGCACGGGGCCGTTCCGCGCTGGGCATCCGCGAAGACACGCCCTCTATCCGCGGGGTCGCGGCCCAGGGGCCTGGCCCACGAGGCCGTGGGTCCGGAGTATGTTCTTCGCCCACGACGGGGGAGAGGGCAGCCTGTCGGGCCTGCTTCCTGGTGCCGCCCTCCACGATCGCGAGGGAGGGCAACGGGCGCCACGCTGAGAGGGGTGCGTGCTTTATACTCGCCAGCCTGATGCCGTGAG